TTTCTTTAATGCTACAAGCTTGAATCCTGTAACTAAATATGATTTTCTTTCTTCAGTACAAAACAGACCTGATTCCCATCCTCAAAGTCCCAACCAAAACAATTCAGCCCAACTTTGTCTATGTGATCCCTGATGACAATGACCCCAAAGGGCACATGGTGTACCTCGAGCTGACTCCTCCTCCAGATGTCATATACAAGACAAGTCCAGGCAGCAGCCAGCAGATGAATGTCCTTGGCATCGTTATCTTCTCTGCAACTATGGGTGAGTGGGATCGGGGTTGCAATAAATTTAGAAACCTCATCATTAGCGTTTTCCCTGCCAACATGTTGGTTTTTGTATCAGAAATGACCTGATCAGAAATGACCTGTTCATTTCTTTTTGGACTCCACTGGAATATTGTTTGAATGATTGACAGTTAAAATTAATCTTTATTCATACTTCTATACTGTAGCCCCTAAGTTCATCCACCTTGTGAAACAAGCTTTTCCTGCTGTGAGGCCCTTTAACTCTTTTCTGCTTGAAAGCCTACTAAGAGTAACCCTTGAATCTTTTTTCTAAACTGAGCAGTTGTTGTCATATCTCAGGCACAGAAGCCTGAGATATGACAGAAACTGCTATTTTGTTATATAACAAAATAATGTTATAAGATATTCTCTTTATATGACATTATTTAGGTCCCAGAACTGAAAAAACTGTCTGAAACTGAATAATAAGATGAAGTCTAATCTTTTGGCTTGGGGAGATTACTTCTTTTATAAAATGTGCATGAGCATGAGCAAGTGTGACAGACAATAAGGAAAACATAATAGTTCAACTTTCAGACCATTTTTTCTTAATTTAGATTAGATTAGATTAGATTAGATTAGATAAAACTTGGGTGGGTTCCTCTGGGAAATTCGGTTTCCAGTAGCACAGCACCGACAGAAGTTACAGAGTGTGAACAGAAATATACACATATATAAATACACAGACATATATAAATACAGAGCATACAAAAGGGATAAATAGAATAAATAGGAATAAGAATACAAGGGAATTGCACATTTCAAGTATTGAAGTCTATTGCACTGTTGGATATTAACAAAAAGTACTGCATAGTGAAGAGGCACTGCAGCTTAGTTGTCCCCCCTCCTTTGTCCTCCTGTCTCCCCTCCTTCTCCCCTCCAGCGAGGAGTTAAACAGTTTGATGGTGTGTTGGCAAAAGAGTTTTTAAGTCTGTTGGTTCTTGTCTTCGGGAGAAGCAACCTGTCACTGAACAGACTC